TTTGCACTGCTTCCCATTACTTTTTGTAAAAGATAAATCCTTAAAAAATTGAGATAAAATTCACACAACATAATTTAAAATATGCAATTCAGTGGTTCTTAGAATATTCACGAGGTTATGCAACCATCACCACTATCTTGTTCCAGAATAGTCCTCCCCAAAGAAAGCCCATACCCACCAGCAGTCACTACCAATTTCTCTCTCTTCCCACTCCCTATTAACCACTGACTTAATTTCTGTGCCTATGGTCTGCCTGTTTGACACATTTCAGAGGCAGAGGGTCCCTGACTCATAAGTTTTTGACTTTGTGACAATGTGAAAGCAATTCACATTCAGTAGAAACTACATGTCAAATTTTGAATTTTGATCTTTCTCTAGCCTAGTAATATACTCTATAATAATCTCTTGTGAAGCTGGATCGTTGCAGAGAGCAGAAGCTCTGGGTCAGCCAAGTGATCATAAGGGAAAACAATGGATACTTTGTGGTGTACTCCACTGGTAAGCCCTGACTTTCAATGAGCTAGGCATAGTGAATGAATTTTTGACTTATGATATTTTCAATTTATGATGGGTTTATAGGGATGGAATCCCATCATAAGTTGAGGAACATCTGTAACTGTAATCATACAATACATGACCTTGTGTGTCTGACTTCTTTGATTGAGCATTATGTTTTCACTTGCCACCCATTTGGTTGCACATATCAGCACTTCATTTCTTTGTTATGGCTGAATAATATTCTACTGTATGTATACACTACATTTAAAAAAATATATTAGTTAGCTGAAGGACATTAGGGGTTTCTTTCTACTTTTTGTCTGCATGAATAATACTGCTATAAACACTCTTGTGATAGTTTTTATATGAACACTCTACTACTCCTTAAAAAAAATTCTACTACTCCTTAAAAAAGTTCTGTACAGGAAGATTTGTAGGAGGTATTGAAACTATGGAATCATACTGCTTCACTAAATGCAAATATATAAGAATAACAGATTTGGGAATAATTACACTGTACTCTTTGGGGAAACATTATATTCCATTAGAGGTACAAACCTTGTACAAAAGGGAGTTATTTCCCACTGGAGATTTACCCTACAGTCAACAAATTCTAAAGGAACCAAAAAAATGTCTACCTGTTACTTAGGCATTATGGTTTTCTTTCAATCATTTCTGAGTTTGCCTCATTTTCTTTTCTAAGCTGTCAAGCCTATGAAGACAAGAATTAGCTTTCTCTCCACATGTCTGAGGCAGGATAACAAGGCTACTACTCAGCAAAAAGAGATGCCCACTCTCACCTCCTGATGGGAGAGAAGCCCTGAATTAATTTTGATTTTTCCAGTTTTCTTATAATATATACTGGTATGGTGCTTTGAATATAGAATACATTTGTGGGCTGACTTATACCCTGCTTCAAATAGATTTGCAAATCCCTTTAAAACCATGCTAATGGTATATATAGCTCAGTCATAGAGCACTTGCCCCCCTCCACCACCCCCGCAAAAAAAAAAAAAGAAAAAGAAAAAAACAAACAAGCAAACAAAGCCAGTCCTTATGTATTTCTGTGGTGACCACAAACTCACTAAGACAGCTTATTATCATGTTTCATTTGTTTTACAGAACTCTTCAATTACTAGAAAAAAGTTATGGTTTCCAGTGTGTCCCTCTTCTTCCAGAGAAAGAGAGATGTGTCTCGCTGCTTCAGCTCTGCCTCAAACTCTGAGGTCCTAAGCTCTTCCAAACCCTGGCCATGGTGTACGCACACAGTAATTATGGAACACACTCCCTTTCTTTTGCATGAAGATAGTTATGTGGGCAACTTACCAGGGGCAGAGATGAAGGACGGTCTGCTTGGAAAAAATTTTCACCAGAAGACTGAATGGGGCTGCTACCAACACTTACATTCTGAAATTATTGGAACAAAATGAAAATCCAGATCAATTATAAGCAACCAGAGTCAAGAGAGAAGAAAGGCAGCTATAGAAACTCAGGATGGTCACACTTACTTCCAAGTGCCCACACACAGATTTTAGCAGTTTGTAAGTTGAATCTCTGGAGAGCAAGGAGACAAATATGTACTGAAAAACCAAAGAGAATAACTATTAACAGAGACTCCGTTATGAGAAGCATGAGTTCAGAGTTCAAATAAGCAGCTGTATATATTTGTTTTCAAATGACACAAACCATCGCCCTTACCCAAACATTCAAATTTTACTTCATTTAAATAAATAATAAAGCAAGTACAAGGAATAAAGCAAGTATTACCTCCCCCATAGCAATAAAGCAAGTATTACCTCCCCCATAGCAATAAAACTTCTAGACTCAATTTAAGAATAATAAAGAAATGTAGGGCTCCAAAATTCTGACATAAGTGGCCCCCCAAAGCTCAGACAGCAAAGGGCATAGACATTAAGAAAAGACCAGTGGTATCTGCGAGATCCTCTTTAAAGTCTCTCCCACTCCAGTTTTGTTTTTGTGTTTAAAGGTATTTAACAATTCCCCTGGGTCCACTTTCTCTGCCCTGACCTAGATTTCCTCTGAAAACTTCCCAGCAACTCTAATAGGCCAGTTCTTTTTCACACCATTTCCAGATTCTTCCCTGTACAAATATGGAGATTTTTCTAGTGGTTGCTTATAAGTGAGTTATGGGAAAAGAGTAAAATCAGAGCCAGGCAAATAAGCTGGAGACAAATGACATAAGGAAAATTATTACCATAAATGGGATATTCATAAAATATAAAAACTCACTTTTTCTCCATCTATCTGAGCTACTGAATCTTTTCAGATTCCCTTTGTATGACTTTGTGATGACCCCTCTCTTTCATCAAGAAAACTCAATGTTATTTCCAAGTAAGTATTTATTATATTCCAAAGTAGTTAACACTGTGGGTTCTGGCATTAGATTCAGTTGTAAATTTTGGCTTTGATATTTACCAAGTGGGTAATTTTGGGGAAAGCTGCTTAAGCATTCTTCCCTCATAGGTTGGTAGCGTGGAATAAATGAGAAAATACAAAGAAAGCATTTGATGTGTGAGGGATACTAATGCCAGTTAGCTGTTGGTATTTTTTAAAATCTCAAAATAGATATACTAACTTATTTTCTAGCTCTTCAGAATTGCCTCTTTTTATCTTTCCATAAGCTATCTAGTATGGTGAGAAGTGGAATATAGCTATGTGTTTTCATAAATATAGTAAGTAAGAGATTAAGAAAGAATGTCAAGTAAAAAACAAGTAACTGAACTTCTCCATTTCCTCTCTCTTGTCAAGCTAAATAAATACCATTCTCTCTTACCCTCCTCCACCCTCTCTCTTTGTGGTGATGGGTTTGAACCCAGGGCTTCAGGCAAGCTCTCTGTCACTGAGTGATCTCTAGCCCATGAATTATTACCACCTTGAATGGGAATATTTCTGGTTTCACATGTCTGGGATAGCCCAGGAATCAACAGTAGCTCTAGAATTTCTGGATAGAAGAGAGGTTGTCCAAGCACCTGGCAGCAAAAAGGGGTGGGAACTGATCCCAAAGCTATAATTGTGGAGCAGGTACAGGTTTCATGCATTTGGGATGACTCTGGGGAGGCACCTAACTGGTTATGAGAAGGCTGGCCAACCCCCTCCTAGAGACTCCTCAGTGTCACCTGCCTCCCCTAACAGCAAGGCTGCTGTCATTATTTTTTTTTAGTTATATTAAAGAAATTGAATATTTCAGTTTTGTCTGACTGAACAATTGTTAAGGAAAGGGAAGTTGGGAAAGAATTTAACTTTTTTGACCTTGGTCAAGCAAGTATAGTTAAGTCATTAGGAAATTCAAAATTGGGAACAATTACATTAGAATAAATCATTTTGTGGGGGGAAATCTAACATGATTTCCCTAGGCTATAATTTTTAGAATTAGTCTTATAGAAAATCTCCAGCTTCACTGTGGGAATGATGACATTTATGGTTTCAGGTCTCTGTCCTTGGCAAGAATCCTGGAAGGCAACAGAGCCCAGAGCAGGAGGATAAAGCAAAAGTGCTCACGCTCTGCAGGAGTACTCACCTTGTCTGTGACTGTTGCTATAATCAGGGCATTTGGCACCAGAAGAGCAGTTTTGGTTTTCTTTATTAGGGTTACTGAGAATGCCGGAATAGAGATCTGAAACAGATTCAGGAAGTTAGCACTAGTTTAGACTTCACACAACACCAATTCAAATCTACACATTAAAGGAAAAATGGGGAGAAAAGATAAACAAGGAAATCAACACCAGCATCAAGCTCCCTAGACTTCATGAAGAAAAGTGAATCTTCTCAGCAATTTAGTGAGACTCTCAGCAACTTAGTGAGACCTTGTCTCACTAAGTTAGTAAAGCATTCCTGGGTTCAGTCCCCCTGTACTAAAAGAAAAATAAAAGTGAATCTTACAAAGTAGTATGAGTCAGGCATGGTGGCACACACCTGTAATCCCAGTGGCTCGGGAGGCTGAGGCAAGAGGATCTTGAGTTCAAAGCCAGCCTCAGCAATGGTGAGGCACTAAGCAACTCAGTGAGACCTGTCTCTAAATAAAATACACAACAGAGCTGGGGATATGGCTCAGTGGTTGAATGCTTTGAGTTCAATTCCTGGTAACCTCTCCCCACAACCAAAAAAAGAATAGTATGGATGGTGCCACCTGAACTCTTCAAGCTGGTATTTATGAAGCCAGAGGACAAATCTGGACCAACAATTCTACTGAAGGTCTTACTGGGAAACTTTTCTCTTTAGACATGGGGAATAGAATATAAAAATTACATTCATGTTCCTTTATCAGAGCCCAAGAAGTTTCAAGATTGCGGTCACCCGCTTTGAGTTAACTTCCACATGCCCCCCTCCCCTCTGTACAGGGCATGTGTGGGTGGGGGCAAAATTCAAGAATGCCAGTGTAGTAGAGAAATCACTGCAGAGTCTGGGTTATTCAGTTCTGTTACTATCTGCATGACTTGCTCAGTCTTATAAACTTTCTACTCTGGGCCTGTTTCCTGATCCATGCATTGGAGATAGACTTGTCTATAGAATTTTCTATGACTTAAATGTGAAATATAATATGGAAATATATGGAAAAAGGCCAGTGTCAGATAAAAATTTCCATCCATTTCCTCATTTGTCTCATGAAACCAGGATTTTTTAAAATTAGAACCAAAAAATAAATTTATTAGAACCAAAAATTACAAAAATAAACATACATTGGTGAAATATAAGTTCACCTTTGGTTCTAATAAAAATGACAAAACTGTAGAAGCTGTCATTATTAACACTTATTTACCAGATGGGAATGTCATTTAATTACGATAAGACTATAAAGTTGGTATCTTATAAGATAATGAAATTTGTTTTAGAGAGGTACATGACTTGCTTGAGGTCCTACACAGAGAAGGTTACAAAGGTGAAATCTGAACTGAATTGATCTGAAATATAGGTTCTTTTCAATATATTGTGTTATAAGAATGTACAAGATGGTGCAAAGAACACTAGGTTCTTCTGATATCTTGTTATATCCTCCCAACCTCATTTGGTTTCAAAGAAGAATAGATCATACCACTTTGATCCCTGAATAATAGAGTCACACAGGACTGGTTAAAAGAAAATGATGTCACTCCCTCCATAGGTCTGTGTGCTCGCCTGAACATGTGTTTTGTTAAAATGCTTCATTTATTCCAAAAGAGATCAACAAGGTTGACAGGAAAGAGGAGCCTTGAGTTAGTACTACCAGCCTGAGGAAGGAAAACGAACTTTTAATTTTGAATCTTTGCATTCTCATTTGGGTTTATGAGATACGCTGACTAATTGCGCTGCCAAGTTCCAGACAGGAAGACTAAGGAGGAATGAGGAACTAATCCAAATTAGGTATTTTCTCAAAGCTCTTTTGCCAAAGAACTCTACCCACAAAAATTTTTAAGAATAGGAGGTAATTCTGCAGTTGTAAATTGGGATACCTTTGGGAAAACTGAATTTGAAGACCTATGAAGATTAATGATGATATCAAAATGAGTCCAATTTGGTTTTTGAGCAGCAGTGCAAACACACAGTGACAAGGGACTATAAATTTAGATTTTTCTAAGGCACCGAACACCCTTAAGGAGTTTTCAATCATGAGTGCAAAATTACAAATCCACAGCATTTGTGAAACGAAGCTGAAATTACTTTTCAGTGAGACTAGATGGAACTTGATACATGCATGCTAATTTTACTAGTGTCTGAAATAGAGACCGGCTGACGACAAGGTTCTGATTAAATTAAGGCTAACTTTATTAACATTTTTCCACGGCAGGGTGCTTAGAAAGTTCCCCTTCCGAGAGCAAATTATCTGGGTGTCTTCAGTTCATATTGGAACATGCTGGACTTCTATTGACAGTGAGGAAATTCTGTAACATCTCGGAAGCCCAGATCTCTTTTGATACTCATCAGAGGGGAAGAAGCATATGACTCACTATTATGGTTCTTATTCCCACCCCCTGCTAATTTTCAATATTCTGTCTCTGTAAGTTAGACAGAGCATATGCAAAAACAATCCCCAAGAGTCTGCATCTTTAAATACCTAGGGTTTTACCTTCTTTTTATCATTTCTCTGTTAGGTAGAAGTAGGGTTTTTAAAGCCATTGCAGAATAGTATTAGCTTGAAACTGCATTTACTACCTTTTATTCTTTCATCTCTTACTAAGGACTGTCTTGGTCCATGAATATCTTTAACCCTTGCTTCTCTGCTCAGAGATGTTGGCTCTCCCTGAACTTCTGAGAACTACCTTTACCACACTGATTGGTACTACATAATCTCCTTCCCAAATCCACGAACGAGTTCTCATAATCCAGAAATCTAGACCGTATGGTGAGATACTGCTTAATATTGCTTTGTGTTATATTGATTCAGATAATACCTCAAACCAAAATTTGCTTATTTAAATGTGTCTCTACAAAATAAAGAAGGAAGGGGCTGGGGATGTGGCTCAAGTGGTAGTGTGCTCGCCTAGCATGTGTGAGGCACTGGGTTCGATTCTCAGCAGTACCACATAAAAAATAAAATAAAAGATATTGTGTCCAACTAAAACTAAAAAATAAATATTAAAAAAAAATAAAGAATACAAAAAGAACATGTTTTACCTGAAGAGTAGTATGCTTGTCTATACCTAATGCCAAAAAAAGAAAGTTTCCATTGTATTTGTTGAGTGGTCTCTATACATGTGCCAGAGGCTTTCAGGAAAATATTTTTAAAGGAGCAAATCAACTCAAATAAAAAAGTTTATCATCAGCCTACTTGCTGGGTATAGAGACTGCTTATTCATCATCATGAATCAGAGTGACTGAAAACTCACTGTCATGCAACCCAAGAGGGTGTTTTTCTTGACTTCTTACTCTGGTGGCCTGAGTGAACTGTGATGTAACACCATGCTCGAAGGCAAGGATGTCATCAGGAGGGGATTATCTCTTCTCTTCCTACACTGCAGGTTTAGAAGGCGGTGCCGTGGGCAAACTGCCAATTTCCTCAGGTTATTCTCATTTATGTTCAAGTGTCACGCACCTCTGCTCCCTGAATCTGTGTTTAAATTAGAGAATGAAAAGGCTCAGTATCAGAGAGTCCTTGGGGAAGTGGGTCTGAGCCTCCTCCAGAGGAGGCCTAAGTGCTGCCCTTGCTGCTGAGGATGTGCTTCAGGTGCAGGTCTCCTCTTTGTTGGTCTGAACATGGTGTGAAGTTTAACGTGTCTTACACAAAGGGTTTTGGTTTTAATGAATGCCTGTGAAAGAAATTGTATCACCTTCCCATATGAAACACTCTTGGAGTGTTTCTGGTGACATTTGGGCAAAGGGTATCTAGGGGAGAGGGACATTGTGCTTGTACAAGGAAACGCGTGAGCATGCTGAAGGGAGGACTCAATCCTTGACTCCATTTTCTCTCTCTCTGACCTGTTGGTCTCTTGAGTTATTCTTCCCCTCAGATATCTTAAATTCCAGGTCTGAGAGATAACATCTGATGATGGATATTGAAACTGCCCTTTCTGCCCCCAGCCATGATTTTGTTGGTGCCGACAAGACAAGACCAGGACAAAGATCAACTCGACCAGGATCTGAGCAAGATCACAGGCACTGCCACCCCCTAGCCTCTCGCCTCTGCTCTTTCCTGGTAGAACCACAGTGCTCCTGTTGAGGCCCTGAAGACAGTACTCTGACCTGTCTTCCCAGTGCAACCACCCTGAGAATATATTCCTCAATCGCTTTTGCTATTGTTGTTTTTTTGGGGGTGGCTGGGAGTGGGCCTGGTCTGCTGGGATTCCCCAGGGGCCAGGACTACAGTTAACAATGGTATTTAGGCAAAGAGGGAAGTTTACATCATCTGGGGGCATTGAAAACCTGTAGTCTTTGAAACCATAGCAAAAGAAACTTGGTATAAAGGCATAATCATGACATATTTACAAACAGAGTTAAGCTAAAAACAATTTATATGTGCAATATATAAAAATGCAGGATTAGCTTTCTTTTCTAGATATCATACCAACCTTGGTGTCTTTCCCAAAGACCTTGGAATGAAAACAAATCCAGTTTTCTGATACAAAGAGCTTTCCTTGGTATAGTATTTCTTTCTGTAGAGCGCAGGTAAAGCCTGGGAGAATACAGACAGGTATAACAGCACCATTTAGGATCCCACTAAAATATCATTTTCATTATTTCCTTTTAAAATAAAAGTTGTGTATCTATTCAAGAATGGGCAGAGATAGTACACTCATACTCCAAAATTCTATCACCTCTTTCTCAGTCATCTTTAGTGGAATAAACGCTGCGGTGATTGGATTTTATTTTTTAATTCAAAGTCTTACAGATTCTAGAATAAGAATCAAAATGGGACGCAAGTCAACCATCATACCCGAGAAACCGAGACTGGTGTTTCGGAAGCCTCCTGTTTAGGAAGGTGTGTCACCCGTGTGCCAACTGTGGCACGCCTGGTCCTCCCTTCCCAGGGATCCTCACTAATGACTCACTAAAGAAATAGCCGGCCACTTCAGGGAGAGCATGTGACTTTGCCCTCTGCCTGGAGATCATTGCAGGAATCTAGCACCTTGCCTTCAACACATGTACACCAAGAAAGGCTAGCAGTGAACCTTGTGGGGCCCAATGTGTTGGGCCACACACATTATCAGCATTCTGGGAATCTGCATAGCACAGATATTAGCATAACTGTCTACTTTGACCTGTGTGTCCTTTTAACTTTCTTGTAGCCTCTCTTGACCCAGGTTTGTGATACTTAAAAAACAAACAAACAAACAAACAAACAAAAAAACCTCAGGATGATTCAATCTGCTGTATTTCATCAATAAATACAAAAGGCAGGAAATCATTCTGGAACTATGCTGGATGAGTCCATAACTCATGAAGAGATTCAGCTTCTCATTCTACTCTCTTATCTTGCAAGGCACTAGGGGAAAGGTCTGTGGCTGGCATTATTGCTCCTCCATGACCTGCTGCCTTCAGAAATCTATTCCCCTCACTGACTCGGTCCCCCAAATAAGTAGCAGGTTCTCACATATGTGGCTTAGAAGGTCAAACAGGTCCAAACTTACTTTGCCTCAGTGGTTCCTCAGTTGGGACATCAAGAAACAACTTGTGAAAGTGCATGTTCGCCTTGTACTGCAGAGAGAAAAACACAGGCCTCACTGCACAAATCCTAACTCCAAATTAGATTAAATAACACATTTTCCCTCCCTTACTGCTATCTTTAGGAATTTACCCTCTCTGATCTTATAAATCTCCAAACCAGCCCTTCAGTTGGGGCATAAAGGTTCATTCTAACAGGATTAATGCCTCACTGGGTGGACACCACATGCAGCAGGTGGTCCGTTGAAGTATCAGGCAGGACAAGGATGTTCCTAATAAGAAATGAGAGGAACTATAAGGAATCTCACTAGAGAAGGTACTGGCTACCAGGGCACTAAAGATACGAGTACCTCAGAAGACCCCAAAGGGTAGAGCTTTGTACTCAAATGAATCTGAACTACAGTCCGTGGTGTGGGATCATGGCCCAGTCAATTCACTTCCCTGGGTCTTGGTTTTCTCTTCTGTGCCAGAGGCCAAAGCATCAGAGAGATGCCACTAGGCTTACAAGGGTAGCACACTGCCTGCTTTCCTTCTTTTCTCCCTTCCTTCCCCACTTCCCCTCCTTCCCTCCTTCCTTCCTTCCTTCCTTCCTTCCTTCCTTCCTTCCTTCCTTCCTTCCTTCCTTCCTTTCCCAGGGGCGCTTAACCATTGAACCACATTCCCAGCTCATTTTTAATTTTTTATTTTGAGACAGAGTCTTGCTGAATTACTTAGAGCCTTGCTAAGTTGCTGAGGCTGGCTTTGAACTTGAGATCCTCCTGCCTCAGCCTCCTGAGCTGCTGGGATTATATGCCTGTGCCACTGTGCCCGGCTGACAAGTGGGATTTCACACAGAAGAACTATCTCTCCAGGGCAGTAGAAGGCCCAAGAGTTGGAAATGCTGCACATTTCTTCATCTTTACCATGTGCAGCTTGCAACTTGCTTTCACAAACCTCATCCTCAAAATAACCCTAGGAACTCGGTGTCCCTATTCCAGGGCTTGGAACCTCTCCTCAGGAATACCGGGAACTTTAAGCCATACCAAAAAAGTAGGCAGTGTGCTACCCCTTTAAGCCTGGTGGCATCTCTCTGAGCTAGGTCCTCCCTCTGCAGGATCACTCTGCTTCATAGGATGCTTCTGAAGAAAAAGTCTGATTAGGAGAACTGAGAGAGACGGGCAAGTAGGCCCCTGATGACGTAGTCCTCAAACCAGGGGGACTCAACGGCAGGACCGGACCTCTTGTTGCTGTACAGGAAAGCTGTAGACCAGGTCGTCACAATGACAGGTGGTCCCTGCAAGCTAGCTATTTTATAGATAGACACTTTACATAAAGTACATTTCCTCGTGTACTTTATGTAAGGTGTCTATATTCTTAGGTGTGCAAAGTGCCCTCCTAAGAAGCATCTTAGGAGGGCACTTTGCACTGAGAAAGATACCCTGATGAAAGCTAGGTGTTTGATGGGAGCTTCAGCAGGATTTTGTGTTTAATGGCTACAGGGAGCACTGTTCACACATTTGTTTAAAACATCCTAGGCCATGGAGTCTTTAAAATCATCAGTGTAGAGGCAGGAGGATCTCCAGTTCAAAGCCAGCCTCTGCAATCTAGTGAGGCCCCGAGCAACTCAGCAAGACCCTGTCTCTAAATAAAATACAAAAATGGGCTGGGAATGTGGCTCAGTGCTTAAGTGCCCCTGGGTTCAACCCTTGGCACCCCGCTCTACCCCAAAATGTCAGTGTAATGAAGAGCCAAAAAAAAAAAGGTAGTGGAACAACACATATAGTACCTGACTCTTGATTGGATCTGGGTAGGGGAAAAAAAATCCCAAACACCTTTACTTTATAAAGGACATTCCTTACTAGGGCAGTTATGGAAATGCAAACTGAATTTTGGTACTTCATTAAATTTCATGGGTGTGCTGTTTGTTTTAATTTTTAGGAAATACATATTTAAGCATTTGGGGTGATGTGTCATAAACCCCCTCTCAAGCCCCCAAAATGACAAGAAGACGGGCCTAGAAGTGGAGCTCAGGGGTGGAGCATTTTCTTAGTGTGTGGGAGGCCCTGAGATCAACTCCCCACACCCAAAACAACAACAAAAAACACCAACCCCAAACTCCTGGCCCCAGTAAACACGTCACACTCAGTGACACAGAACTGGGCTTTGTTACCTAGCGGGGTGTATCTGAGAGCAGAACTGAAATCACTTCTGCAGAAGGTCTTTCTTCTCTGGTGCCTTTTCTGTAATTTTAATTGTGATGTCACATCGTCCCCTGTCCTGCTAACTATTAGACAAGCACTGTGTTAGTATGTGCTCTCTGGGTACTTGTCACGAGTTAGGGGACACAGCACAGCATCCGCTACCTCTCAGTATGTGTGGAAAGGTCAGGTGTGGAATCTAATATTAATGAGACATTGACCAGAGGAAGAGCTATGGTCTGTCCTTCCAAACTCTCTGAACTCCTGTGCTTATGTCAGCCATGCAGGAAGTTGCCTGCTCAGGTTATTTTATTTTATGTGTTGTTTTTGGATACACATGATAGTGGAATGTATTTTGACATATTATACATACGTGGAGTATAACTTATTCTAATTAGGATCCTATTCTTCTGGTTGTACATGACGTGGAGTTACCTGGTCATGTATTCAAATACAAAGTTAGGAAAGTTATGTCCGATTAATTCTACTGCCCTTCCTATTTCCTCTTACCCCTCCTTTCCCCTTCCTCCCCTTTGTCTAATCCAATGGACTTCTTCTACTCTTCCCCTTCCCACCCTCCCTTGTTGTGGGTTGGCACCCACATATCAGAGAAAACATTCAATCTTTGTTTTTTGGGGACTGCCTTATTTCACTTAGCATGAAAGTCTCCAGTTCCATCCATTACCGGCAAATGTTAAAATTTCATTCTTCTTTATGGCTAAGTTATATTCCATTGTGTATATATACTACATTTTCTTTATCCGTTCATGTGTTGAAGGACACCTGCGTTGGTTCTATAGCTTGGCTATTGGGAATTGAGCTGCTACCATGCTCAGGTTCTTTCCCTCCCTGGGCCCTAATGGGTCTGTCATCCACTTACTCCATTCCCCTATTACCTGGCTGGAAGAGGAAGACTTTTTTCTTTCAGTCTTAGGGTCATTTTTGCTTTCTGTTTTACAGTCGTTCTTATCACCTACTAAAGAGGTACCATCACAATTGGATTTTGACCTGGGGAAATAAAATCCAGGAGATTATAAGATGAATTGTTTTATCCACTCATTATTTATTATAATAAATCTTGATTATTATACTATGTCACGCGAAAACCTGATGTTTATTTGTCTCTTCTAGATATCAGCAATCATTTCTGATACTCTAGGGCATTTACACAGCACGAGTCTCAAGTGAGTGGGGGATTAGAGCAGGCTATCAGCACAAACTGCAGAAATGATAACTTATTTATAAAAGGAGAAATGACAGTTGCGATGTGAAAGTAACCACATCATTTCAAAAGTATTTTTGTCAGTATAAAGAGGTGTATTTGAAGCAAATTACCAAATAAAATTACAGCTATAATTCAATTAAAGAATATTTCGGTCTCAGGACCCATTAATATTTAACAAGTATTAATTGAGGGAGGCATTGTGCTAAATGCCTTGGGCACACAAGG